CTATATTACTCATGGTGAGCCCCCGCAGACATTTCCTCCACCAACACTGTGGGGCTAACGTTGTGTCTGGGCCAGCCCTGTGGTTCTTATTATGACTGCAGGACACACTTCAGCAAGAAACCATCTGGGAACTTTGAGGAACAGATTTATTACTCACATCCTGGAGGGTACATGGCACACCTGAGGGCCACATTGTGAAGTCACGAGTAGAGAGACAGAGACAGAGAGCACCTGGGGCTTTGCCTTTATTAGGGTCCAAGGGTGGAGTGTCTAGTTTTGAGTTCACTCTTTATTGGTTAATTTAAAGCATAAGAAAAGGAATTAGGGAGCAAGAAGGGAGAAGCCAAAAAAAATGAAGCCAAAAAATACCTGATTTCAAAGGTTCATTATAAAGTTACAGTAGTCAAGGCCATTTGATCTGACATAAACATAGAAAATCATTTCGGTGGAACAGAGTAGACCTATATGTACATGGGCAACTGATATTCTGCAAAGATACAAAGTGATAAAGTGAAGAAAGGATAATCCTTTTCAACAATTGATGCTGGAACAATCAGTTATCTATATGCAAAGCAATGAACTTTGATCCACATCTCAAACCATATGCAGTTCTCAATAAGATTAATAAATTTCTTATCAGAAACCATAGAGATCAGAAGGCAGTGAGATGACATACTTAAAGTGCTGAAAGAAGATTGCCAACCAAAAATTTTATATGCAAAAAATTATCCCCCAAAACTGGAGAAATTAAGACATGCCAGATAAACAAAAACAGATAATTTATTACTAGCCAAATTGCCCTGCAAGAAATACGAAAAGGAGTTCTTCAAGCAGGACTGGAAGGTTACTAGACAACAACTCAAATCACATGAAGAAATAAAGAACACCAATAAACATAACTACATAGATAAATAAAAAAGACATTATAAATATAATTTTTGTCTGTCTTAGCTGCAGCTGCTGTAACAATTACCATACACTGGGTGGTTTAAATAACAGATATTTATTTCACACATTTCTGGAAGTGGAATGTCTGAGATCAGGGTGCCAGGAGGGTCGAGTTTGGGGGAGGACCTGCCTCCTGCCTAATAGCTAGTTGCCTTTTCACTGCATCTTTTCATGGGGAAGAGCAGAGGGAGGGCTCACTCTCTTCCTTTTCTTATAGGGACACTTATCTCATCATGGAGACTCCACCCCCACGATTAATGACCTTCCTAAGGCCCCACTTCCAAATACCACTACATTAGGGCTTTCATATGCGAATTGGGGGGAACACATTCAGCCTATAGTGCTGTTTGTAACTCCTCTTTCTTTTATCTGATGTAAAAGACAACTGCATAAAGCAATTACCCATGTAAAGCCATGATGATGGTATACAATATATAAAGATGTAATTTGTATAGGCCATTTGCATAAGCAATAAGACTATATAGAATCAAAGTTTTATATACTATTGAGATTAAGATAATATTAATCCAAACTAAATTGCTATAGGCTGAGATGTTAATTGTAACCTTCAGGGCAACCACTAAAAAAACTTAAAAAAAAAAAAGATAAATGGAAGGACAATGGAATTAAAATTGTATACTGGAAAATATCTATTTATCACATAAGAAAACAATAATGGAGGAACATAGGAACAAAAAAGACATAGAAACAAAGAGCAAATTGGACTTTGGGTTTTAATCACACAATAGAATATATAGATGTCAAATTATAATGTATACCTGAAAATTATATAATTGTACTAACCAATGTTACCCCAATAAACAATTTTAAAAAATTTAAAAAAGAAAAAAAGAAAAAGAAAGAGCAAAATGGTAGGCATAAATCCTACCTTAAATGTAAATGAGTTAAACACTACAATTAAAATGCGGATATTGGCAAAATGAGTTTTAAAAAATGATCCCACTATGTGCTGTCTACAAGAGACAGACTTTAGATTGAAAGTAAAAAGGTGGAAATACAAATAGGTTGAAAGTAAAAAGGTGGAAAAAGGTATACCATGTTCACGTAACCAAAACGAAAGCTGGGATAGCTACAGTAATATTACACAAAATAGATTTTAAAACAAAAACTGTTACTAGAGATAATTATAATGATAAAAGGGTCATTCTATCATGAATATATAAAAATCATTAACACATAGAAACCACACAATAGAGCCGCAAAATACATGAAGCAAAAATTGACAGAATTGAAGGGGAAATAGACACTACAACAACAATTGGAATCTTTAATACCCCATTTTCAATAATGGATAAAACAAAACAAAAGACCAAACAGGAAATAGTCTTGAACGACACTATAGACTAACTAGAATAGACATCTACAGAACACTTCATTCCTAATAAGAGCAAGATATACATTCTTCTCAAATGCACATACAACATTCTCCAGGACAGGTTATATGTTAGTCCATAAAACAAGTCTCAATAAATTTGAAAGGATTGAAATCATAAGTATGTTCTCCAATCAAATGGAATGAAATTAGAAATCAATAACAGAAGGAAATTTGGGAAATTCAGAAATATGTGGAAATTAAATAACAAACTCCTAAGTAATCGATGGGTCAAAGAAGAAATGACATTAATAATGAGAAAATAATTTGGGATGAATGAAAATTAAAGTATAATATACCAAAACTTAAATGGTATGCACCTGAAACACTGCTTAGTTTTCAGCGGCTTTTGAAACACCCAGCTCTGGCATCTCCTCTCTAGTCAAAGGCAGGTGCCCGGAAAAACAGCCTCAGGACTCTGATTCTCTAAGCATCTGCTCAGGAGATTAGTTCCAGACATCCTCCAGGAAATGCTGGCTGGATCAATGGATGAGCCTTTCCTCAAAGCCACAGGACCCTCCACGTGTCAGTCTAACCTCTGCTTTCATATAGAGTTCTTCCTTCATGGGGGCTTTCTGTGGCTCCCATGTCCTCTTGGGCCATGTCCTCTGGCTTTTTTGCCCTCTCTTAAATGGCGCTAACTTTTAACTATGTTCCTCACTGTTCTCGGTACCCTTCAGGCAGACTTGTCACCGTAAGAGATTTTGCTCCCTGTGGTCTAGCAGAGCCAAACAGGCCATGATGCAAATCTTAGCCTGTTGTGTTATATTGAGTGGTTCAGCTTCCACATAATAAAATGGAGATTTAAAAAAATCTACTTTGTAGAGGTGCCATATGCATTACACAATAGGCACATTTCAAGGCACATGGTAGGGATTCCTTAGATGGGAACTATTATTGTTATTGTTGTTGTTATTGCTATTCTCCAACTATCCAGATCCTCTATAACCTTCAAAGTCTCTCCAAGGTCTAACCACCAGGAAGTCATTTCTGACTATTCTTTTCCTTATCTAGTGTGGCTCTAATCAGCAAGCAATTGAAAAGTCATTCTCTGGCTGTTATTGTTTATCAGTGCATGTTGTTTCTCAACTAGACAGTAAGCAAGATGAAAGCATATTATATTCTAGTATAGAAATCCTCTCCAGTGGTAGTACAGCATTGTGCTTAAAATCCTAGACTCTCAAGCCAGACTGGATCCATAGCCCAGCTCTGGGCAAGTCACTCGACCTCTCTGTGCTCAGTTTTCCCATCTGCAAAATGGGACAGCAATAATAACAACAGTACCCACATACGGTGGCTGTGGGACTTATATAGAATAAGAAGAGTCTGGCACATAGTATCTGCTTAATTATTGTCTGTCAAATAAATCGACTCAAAGAGCAGAATATTAGGAAGGTAGTTGCTGAAATTAGGTTGACTGGCACAAGTAGATCTTCACCTTCCACCAAAAAAAATTCAATTTGGAAACATACTACTGACTTTGGTAAGTATGCTTGTTTAGTGTTTAGAGCAATATAATAAGATAAAATAGTTATAACCAAAGTTTGTTTTCAGGAAATGGATTGAGACTAAGCTGAAAGCCCTAAACCCTATAATCAGGAGAGTATCCTAATATACTGCCTAAATGTATATTCTTCACTCGGACTCACAGGCCCGAGAGATAGACCACCACCGTTTTGTCTAATCAAGAGGAAAGATATAAGACATGAAAGCATTGCCTTTCAAAGATATTGAGTATTTTTGTGTTCCAGGAACTTTAGATTTGGAAAACCACCTAAGAATAAGCATTATTTCCCCAATTATACAGAAGAAACTGAGGCTCAGAGAGGTTACCCAAGGTCATACAACTGGCAAGTCGGCAGGGTCAGATTCAAACCCAGATCTCCCTGACTCCAAGCTTGCACTCCTCCCACGCCTCACAAGGTGAGGTCCTCAGGTGAGGCCCCAGATGAGGTGGCCATTGGCATCCAGCAGGACTGCCTCAGATGTTTTGCCAATACCCACAGAGACAGATAGTACTCTAGCCACTGAGTTTTAAGACTCCTGCCCACCCCCATGACTGAGGGGCTGGTTGTCTCCTCTTAAGGCGACAAGTCTCCCTGGAGGGTACTAAAAGCAGTGGGGAATGTGGTTAAAAGGTCAAGTTAGTGCCATTTTGGAGAGACAAAAAAAGCCAGAGGACATGGCCCAAGAGGACATGGAAACCACTGAAAGCCCCCATGAAAGGAGAGTCTCTGGGTTTACTGAAATATACTCAAAATATTAGAGGAAAATGGAGACTCAGCTTATCAGAAAAGGGGCTGGCACTGTGACAGATCTTATTGAAACATGATCTCAGTTGCCCTTCACTTTGGGTCAAGAGGGTTGGAGGGAGCACCCCCAGCCTCTATCTCTCATTTCTCAGCTTGTCCTCACAAACACCAAAGGCAGAGATGAAAGTGTCTGCTCTCTTCCAAGGGCCACTTGTGGTTTCCCTCCCCATTCAGCACACCAACTGGGAGGGACTTTCAGCTACTTCTCATTATGTAAATGACTTTAGTTTCTTTGCCACAAGTGAATGAGGGAGCCAGCCCTGTAATTAGCCTTCAGCTGTTCAGAAGACCTGTGCTAAGCTTGGCTGCAGCAGAGCAGTAGTGCCAGTCCTTGGGGAGGCTGTGGCTCTCCCTGGCTCCCCAGTTATGCCGTGGCAGCAATCTCCAGTGATGGTGCTCTTCATGTCCCTGGCTGGTGAGTGATACACATGACTCTGCCATTTCTTATCCTATTAAATTTCAATGCCTTCTGGTGCCATTGATCAAAATGAGATAGGATAGACTGCAGATAGCTCTAACAGCTTCACTTACTGTGGGCATTTGGCTGGGAACATCTTTTCTTTATTACCTTACACATGTGGGGCACACTTCATTTTTTCCAAGGACTTTCACAGTGTAATGCACACTGTTTTCCATAAGTTAGGCAGCATAAGTGTTGACCCCAGAAGACAGTGACACTGTCTGGTCACCTTCTAAGGAAGAGTTTACAGAAACCGTTTAGATTTAAGAGACAGAACTGAGCCAGGGCTTGGAAATGGGGCTCTCGCTACAATGTCTGGTAAAAGTATAGCATGTTTTGCTTTTCCTGTTTTTCTCAAATGGAAATGCTAGGTTTATAATGTATACAGAGTGAATTGTGAAGATGAATGAGATGTGGTCTGTCAAATTGTGCCATTTTAGAAAGGCGTAAGCCAGGGCATCAAAGATTTTTAAAAATTACCGTCATACTTCAGATCAGAGAGGCTGTGTGGGAAACTGAGCCTTTAATGACTGTTTTATGTCCCCAACCCCTGCCTTCACCAAGAGCATTTTCTCTGTGACATTGAATCCTCTTGTGTGCTGTTATGAGGTTTGCTGGTTAATTCACAATTCCTTCTAGAACCACTGAATTTAACATGTGAGGGAACTAGCTTTGTCCACACAACCCTGCTAATACATTTAAATTGGGGACACAGTGGCACTTGATTGTTATGAAACTTGGGTGAAGAGTCTGGCCAGTTGTCCCATTCCAGTCTGGTTTTCCTTGTGCCACATATTCAGAATTAGTTGCATATTCTTTTGGAGGCAGTCATCATTATATTTAGCAGGGCAAGCGAATAAAAAAGCAAAAGACCTCAGTGACCCACGTGCGAGCACCAATTCCATGACTGGCAGATGACTGACAGATTCAGAATTGTAACGAGTGCTCAATAAATGCAAGGGCAGGTTGAGAGGAAATGCTCGCCCTTTCCTCTCTGGGATGCAGGTTCTCAGAGATGAATTGAGTAAATGAAGCGTGTGAAGGTGCCCCGTTTTCCAGATGAGGGTTCTGAGGCAGGTTACAGAATTGGTCATGATCAGTCAACTAGCAAGTGGCAGCCTTGAGATTTGTGTCTAGGAAGTCCAGCTTCATGGCCCATGCTCTGTATTACTGTACTGCACAACCCTGAATGCCTAGGTTCAAAAAAATACGTTGAACTGGAGATGAGAAAACCATTAGATATTTTGGTTTTTTAGAAAAGACTTAGCTTCTGGGTAAACTAGCTGTGTAGTCATAATCCAGTCACTTTTCTTCCCCGGTCTCAAATTCCTCCCTTATAAAATGAAGGAATTTTAGTTTGTGTCAGTTAACTCTAGGTTTGACTGTACATAAGAGACAAGCCCAAATAATAGTGAATTAATCAAGATAAATGTTTATTTCTCTTTCCTGTGAAAATAAGTCCAGAGTGATTCAGACCCGGTCTGGTGTGAGGGCTCATTACCATGGACCTGCCATCTTATGTGTGACTCCTGCCCCAAAAGTCTTGTGGTTCTAGACGTCCGTTGGAACTCCGGCCATCATGCACGAAACAAGTTGCAGGCTATTTAAAGGAGGAAAACAGAAAGGCAATGAAGAATCCACACAGGCAATTGAGTTCCCTTCAAGCAGCCTTCCCAGAAGGCCCACATAAGCCTACCATTTTTGTTACTTTGGCTCAAACTCAGTCACACATTCCCACCCAGCTGGAAAGGAGACTTGGCCATAGTGTTTTAAATCCAGGCAGCAGGTGCTCAGCTTAAACTTGTGGTTCTGTTCCTAAGGGAAAGGGGAAGACTGGATTTTGGGGTAGTGAGCCAGCAGTCTCTGTCACAGGGCTAGAGTCCTTCTGTTCAAGGGTTCTCTTTGAATCTTAAGGCCCACAGGAAACCAACAGAGGTAGGATTTATATCTTTTTGTTAAAAGGTCCATGTTTAAACTGAGAAACTGAGCAGAATCTTGCTAAGTGCCCACCCCTGCCACCCCACACATCCAGAAATAGTCTTCCTGCCGCACCTAGCTGGGGCTGCTTCTGCTGCCTGGGAGGTGCCAAAGAAAATGCTTGAGATGGGGAGCTAAAGTGCTGGGGTGCTAAACATAGCTCTTTGCCCCTGGATATGGCCACCGTGCTCCATTTACACTCCAGCTGTGTTCCTTAGATCTCTGCAGACAAAGTGTAGC